CGGACCAAGCGCTGGGCGCCGGCGGTAAGTCGTCAACTTTGGTTACCGCCAAGGAACTCTTCGAGCTTCTTTACGTTACAGCTCGAAGCTCGTATTCCGAATCTAGAACGACAGTGATACGATCTCAGCGCCGACGCGTTCATGGACTTGTGCATTGAGTAAGTCTGCATCGATTTCGATTGAAAGCCAGCTTTGTAGCTGACTTGATCTTGCTGCTCAACCAGCAACAATTCGACGCAACATAATTGCAGTAACGCGAAGGTAGTTTTCGAATACAGCTCGACGGGTGAACCAATCTCAACGTTTTCGAGATGACAGACAAAGGCTTTCGATCACGTTCGATCGATCGATATACCAAAGATCTAGCTCTGTAGCTGCTCTGAATGCCGAGATTTAATACAACAGCGATTCGAAGCAGCAGCAGAGCTGTTGCAAGGTGATATCATTTTGTCAAAAGATAGCTCGACAAATAGACCGATCTTATGTCTCTCGAGTCTGTAGACTTAGCGCTCGATCACACCCGATCGATTGATATACCGGAGAGCTCTGGAACTGCTCTAACTTCCGAGATTCAAACAAACAGCCGTTAGACGCAGCACCAGAGCAGTTGCAGTGTGATGCGAGTTTCTCGAATACAGCTCGAGTAGCGGACCGATCTCATGTCTCTCGACACTGTGGACTCCTCGCGCCCAATTGATTTGTATACCAAGACGCTTTGTATCTGCCCAAATCCAAAGATTGAAGCAACCAACCGTTCGAAGCAGCAGCGGAGCAGTTGCAGAGTGGTACTAGTTTTCGAGGGTCGCTCAAGTAGCAGACCGAACTCAGGTCTCTCGAGACTGCAAAGTACAACTTTTGACCACGCCGGATCGACTGGCATTCCAAACAACTCTGTAGCTGCTCTGAATTTCGAAATCCAGTCGGACAGCCACACACGCGTAGAACGTATTGTCCCGAGGCGAGTAACCGCCTGGACAATTTCCCCATTTCAAAACGATAGGATCGGACTGAGATCAAGATGGTGGACAACCATAAGATCCAAGTTTTCGGGAATACTTACCCCAAACGAATTGTCAAATCCAGGTCAATTTATTTTCAACCAACCTCTGTTCGCCAAACATACTGTTTTGACGAACTAGCATACTGGTGCTTCGGAGGTGCTCTAGTTTCCGTGGCTTCGCACTCAGAGAAACTCTACGAGCCCAATTTCTGCGGCGCTGCCTGCCCGGCAGCCGCGACAGGAAGCTGGCCTGCCCTTGTCTGCCGGCTTCCAATCTGAATCGCTCTGGCTCTCCAAAGCCCCGCGACACTCTTTTTCTCCTCCCGCAAGCGCATCTTGCGGAAAGGAGGAGGAGGAGGAGGAGGAGGAGGAGGAGGAGCAGGAGGAGGAAGAAGAGGATGAGGAGGAGGAGAACTGAGGAGGAGGAGGGAGGAGGAGGAGGAGGAGGAGGCGAAAAGGGAAGGCGCGACGACCACCTTGCCGAGCCACTCGTGGCTCTGTCCACCGCGGGCTTCCCCTGCTCCGCGCCACCTCTGACTACCTACCAGACCACCCCAACCCAACCCGAAGACCCCAATTTCGGGTTGGGGGGGGTACGGGTTCCATATGTGTTTTTTCAGCGTTCCCCAACCCCCCACAACTGGAAATGGAGGGCAGATTGAGGTCTTCGGGTTGGGTTGGGGTGGTTTGGTGGGTGGTGAACCTCTGGTGCCGATCCTGGAGCCTGCGAATCCAAACACGTGCTGGCGCCTCGACCCCTTACCTCCGCCGAGCTTTTTGCCGAGCCTCCGCCTGCGGGCCCGCCGCCGTCCTTCCTTCCGCCAGCCTCCGCCCAAGGCAGGCGACGTGGACCGACGGCGAGACGAGCCGACTCTGTAAGAACGGTTTTTTGAAGGCGGATCCGCCTTCAAAAAACCGTTCTTACAAAGTAGAACGGTTTTTTGAAGGCGGATCTGCCTTCAAAAAACCGTTCTTACAGAATTTTTTGAAGGCGGATCTGCCTTCAAAAAACCGTTCTTACAGAGTAGGCCATCCTGAATCCAAACGCATGACGGCGCCCCGAAATTCTCACCTCTGCCGCGCTTCCGCCGAGCTTCCGCCGCCGAGCTTCCGCCATCGATCCCGCCGACCTCCTCCCGCCGGGTCCACCCCCGAACGCGGGGCGAGCGTTCTGTTGCTCCCACCGTACTTTAGGACGACATGCCAGACACAATTTCGAGCACCTCGAGAAATATCGAAGCAATGCCTGCCCGACACGCTCCCAGGACCCGACACGTGAAAACCGTCCAGTTTGGATACTTCCCTGGTGCTCGAAGTTCTTCCTGGTGATCAGGGCTGAGGCAGGTCGGAACATCATAAGGTGAGCGGAAGGCGAGGCCCTTTCTGGAGCGCGAGCCGCCTGAGCGACGAAGAGGACCGGGCCTCGCGCGAGGAGGCAAGACGACCTCGCGCCGTTTGCGCAGGCGGCCAGCGCGGCACCTCGCGATGTTCCGCCGAACCTCCTGCTGGCGGACCCGCCGCCGCCGCCGCTCTTCGCCCGCAACCTCCCGCCGAAGGCACGGTGAATGCGGAACCACAGCAAGTATGTGTTGGCGCCGAAGCCTCTCGACTCCACCGCCTTCCGCCGAGCTCCTGCCAGCAAGCCCGCCGCCGTTCTCCCTCCGCAGGCCTTCCGCCGGAGGCGGCATGAGGAGTGGAATTGCAACATGCTGGCGTCTGAACCTCCTGCTTCCGCCGAGCCTCCGCCAGCAAGCCCGCCGCCGTTCTCCTCCTCCTCCTCCTCCTCCTCCTCCTCCTCCTCCTCCTCCTCCTCCTCCTCCCGCCGAGACTCCGCCAGTTAGCTTCCAGAGCGCGAAAGGGGGGGATGGGGGGGGGGGTGTCAGCTTCCGAGGGGCGGGAAAAAGGCAGAGGGGGTGGTGGTTTCTGGCTGGGGAGGTCCAGGGGGGGGGATAATTAGCTAATCCCCCCCCCTTTGGAAAGGGGGGGGCCGCTGGCTCTCTCGGAGCGCAAGAGGGGGAGAGCGGGGGCAGCTTCCGATGGCGGGGCAAAAGCGAAGGGGGGGGGCCTTCGGGCAGGGGAGGGCCACGGGAAGGCAGCCGAGGGGGGCACCCCCTCCTCTGGGAGTGCTCCACGGGCGCGCTCTGCTCCAACGTGCCACCCAGTCGATCCCACTGTGGATCTCACTGCCTACCGATCGATCTGAACTATCGATTCCACCGCAGTCGGACTTGACTAGACAGGACACGCGAGGGGGCACGAGACCCTTCCGAGGCTCCGAGGGCCACACTGCCACAGCAAGGCAAGGAGGCATGGGACGCGAGACACAGGACATAAACGTTCCCTTGATCTGGCAAGGTCGACCTGCTAATCCGGGCCGACTGTATCGGCCTCACGATCGATCTCACCACGGGATGCCGACGGGGCACGGGCGGGACACACCCGCGGGACACCCCTGGCCGCCGCCGGCCCAACCGGGGGGGAGGGGGCGGTCTTTTGGCCCAGCGGCGCACTGGCCAGAGGAGGGCTCAGTCCTCTCGCCTGCCCACGCAGCTTCCCGCGCAGCCTCGCCCGCACGCACGACACGAGCACGAAAAACCAACATGCAGATTTCCTGGTGAGGGGCTCTCCGCTTCGCTGCGACATCTCACCCCGCGCCTCCGATTTTTTTTCTGGGTCCCCGCCTTCCCCCCCACTTCCCATCCCTTCCAGTCGTTTCACGGAAATCGACGTTTCTCTGTGTTCGTGCGTTGTGCTCCCACCCGAGAGGAGAAGCCCCCGGCCGAGCGCGGGCGCGGGGCCGCGCGGGTGGGCGCGATGCAGAGCCTCCTGGGCCTGCGCAGGCGTGCCGCGCGCGGGCCCGGGTGCAGGCCGGCCGCGAGGAGCGCCTCGGCCGACCCATGGCTCCGACGCCGTGCCGTGTCCCGCGGGGGAAAAGCGCTTCGGGAGGCGCTGCGAGCTCGCGGCAGGCACGTTGGGGCTCGCCGAAAGCGTCTTCGCCTCCAGAACAAGTTTGACCTTAGAGGCCTCCCAGAGCGGGTCGGAGTAGGTGGTCGGAGGATCGCGCCGCATCGCCAATGCATCGGCGACGTCGACGTGAAGCACATCGGGCTCCACATCGAGCCGCATCGGTGATGCATCGGCGATGCGGCGCGTTCCGCCGACTCCTCCTGCTCCGACCTCATCCAGGAGGCCTAGATTTTTGCCTTCAGTGAAAAGGAGGAGGAGGAGGAGGAGGAGGAGGAGGAGGAGGGGGAGGAGGAGGAGGAGGGGGAGGAGGAGGAGGAGGAGGAGGAGGAGGAGGAGGAGGAGGAGGAGGAGCTCATTGCCGCCATTCCGTTGCCAGCCCCCAACGTTTGCTTCTTCCACGCCGAACGGGGGTCTCCAGAGGCCTGGGCCTTCTCCCCAGGGCCGGTTCTTTGCCCAAGTCGTTCCTGGACGGCCCCGGGGCCCAGCGAGGACGCCTGGGGGCTGAACACCACGACGACGATGACGACAACGATGGACACGACGACCACGATTTGTGCTCAGTGCGTCGAACCCCCCCGGATGGCAGGGAGGAAGAGCACCCACTCGGGGGCGTCCAAGAGGGGGGCGTCCAAGAAGGGGGGGGCGCAAATCGTTGCCAGTGGCATGTGCGCGGCCCAGGGGGGTGGGGGCCAGGGACGTATTGAAGCACGAAGAGGCGCCATGAAATCTGGGGAGATCTCATGGCCCCCGCCATGTTCCCTGAGATCCGACGTTGCGAAAAAGTGGCACCTTCGGAAACAATCACGCCAGAAACTCCAGACCCCACCTTTCTGTATCATTTTTCGAGCCGAACCGATCTGTGAGGGTCCCGGGGCCCGAAAAAGCGCTCGTCGCGAATAAATTGCAGCGCCAGGATCGCAAGGTTACCGCCCCCCTAACCACCACCCTCCTCTTTGCCGCCACCGGGGAGAGCACCACTCGGCCGAGCACGGGCGCGCTGGCGCCCCGGACCCCGCGGCGGCGCACCGCCGCCTCAGTCGAGCGACCCGGGCCGTCGGGCGCCTGCCGCGCGGCCGGCGGCCGGCGCCTCGCCCAGGCCCAGAGCGGAGGGCACGCCGAGCATGGACCCGCGCTGGAAGATGCGCCCCGACAGCACCTCTGTAGGGCGACGAAATCTATACTCATCCACTGCTCCCTGGCCAGGCCCAGCCCTCAACCCCGCAGCGGTGTCTACGCCACGCCCTCCTGGCTTGGCCAGGAGGGCGCATGCACAGCTCCTGGGTTCAAGATGGGCATGGTCAGGGAGCAGTGGATATGCATAGATTTCGTCGCCCGACTCTGGGAGTCGAGCCTTCCTCGGCCACGCGCAGGAGGGACCCCAGGCGAGAGCGGCCTCTGGCGCGCGGACTCCGAGGGGCGCAGGGTGGCCAGATCCAGGCACGCAGGCCGCCCCTGTCGCCTCGCGCTCCGCGAGCGGGGGACCCCGGTGAGCCCCGCACCAGAGGTCACTTCGGCGAAGGGTCACTCTTAGGTGTAGTCGACCTTCTACAGTCGGAATCGCTCGGGGAGGACACGCGAGAGGACACAGAGACCCTTCCGAGGGCCACGTGGCCACAGGCATGTGAGAAGGCATGGGCCGCGAGGCACCAGGCCCAGGGGTGCCCTGGACCTGGCAGGGTCGACCCATGTACTAATCTGGGCCGCCTGCACAGGCCCAGACCTCCAACGCGTCTTGGAAATTCAGCGAGGAAATCCGTCCCCCGTGTTTTGGGACCCCCCAAACCGGGTGGTGAGATACCAGGTGGCGACCTGGAATCCCCAAAAAGGTCACCGCTGGGTTTGGGG